GATATTGACCAAATACTTATTTTCCACCATAATTTGTAAATAAATTCTTTCCAAATCATACAATGTGATTGTCTGGATTTGTTTTCTCATTTTGTCTCTCATGGTTGAGATCTACCTATGATGACAATTACAGGCCTCTCTCATCTTTTTAAGTGGGAGAACTTGCACAATTGGTGGCTGACTAAATACTTTTTTCCCCACTGTAGATAGATACATTCATTCATTCATTCATTCGATTGATGCAATTGAATTTCCCAGAGCTGCTTTGTTCCTACTGTTCAGTATTCCCATTCTGAAGCTGCAACTGATTCAGAAAGCTGTAGGTGATTTTTTTTCATGTTAATGTGTATTACACAACATGCAATCCTTCGGATCCTCCTTTATCAATATTTACTTACCTAAATATAGAACAACCATAAGTGGGCAGAACAGCAGTGGGAATGAGTGACTTCCAACCTGCCAGCTTCCTGACTGACTTTGTGGGAAGCTGGCAGGGAGCATTAGAAATCACAATCACGTGACTTCAGCTGACTGTGGTGGTGCTATAACAGTCGCATCTTAAGATATTTGAAATTTCAGTTCCATGGGAATAATGGGTCCTGGATTTGGAATGCATTTTTAACTGAAAGACGTATTTCTGGCACCTTGATTCAAAAAATGTTGCCCTATGATGCATCATTTTGCTAATTGATTGTTAAAACAGACAAACACAGGAAACATTTAGTAATATGTAGACTAGATAGCACCTGCCTCCATGATGTTTCTGATTCATCAGTTTTTCTCATTTAAAACCAGGCATTTGCCTTGCAATAGATATTTCTACAGCAGAATTTGCAATGTGTTAAAGTTTCCTGCTATGTATTCGTGGCACTCCTTTGATTACAGCCTTGGTTTTTTTCCCCTATAACTAAATGCTAATGCATCCATTAACTTAAATATATTATCTGAGATGACTATAGGAGACTATTTGCAAGCAATCAATTTTATACAAATAATATTATTCCATGGTGTAATAATTAATACAAAATACTTCTTTTATTTTATCTTTGATTGCATATACAGTATATTTACTTAATTGTTTTAATAATAGGTATATGTTTTGCTATGTATTAAAATATATTATTAATCACACTGCATGTTAATTTTCTTTCTTTGAACAGTGGTTCAATTTGAACTCTCTCTTGACCGGTCCAGAACTAATATCTGATACTTATCTTGCACTTTTTCTGGCCCAGCTACAACAAGAAGGTAATGCTAATTTTCAGATGCTGAATGTTGTAATATTGCTGTAATATTCGTCTAAGAAAACTCTTCCTGTGTTGCTTGACCGAGTTTTATAGAATGCATAACCAAATTGCCCAATACTGATAAAGAGCATTTTTCTATTCATTAGTGCCTTGCCCACTAACCCCTGTATTTTATATTAATTTTTAGATTATCTTCCTAATCTGTTCATCTTTTATCTCTCATAGGTTATTCAATATTTGTTGTAAAAGGTGACTTACCTGATTGTGAAGCTGATCAATTACTGCAAATGATTCGGGTGCAGCAAATGCAAAGGCCAAAATTAATTGGGGAAGAGACGCTGCAATCAAGAGATGAGAGGTATAGTAAATAAATGCTTGTGTTTTAATGGATTCAGTGTAAGTATTTTTGAAGCCTGATTATGAAGGGTACTATTATGTTTTACACATGGAATAAACCAAAATTTGTGTTTGCCTATAATAAAGATATTATCTATGTCTAAAGGAGATATACCAAATACAAAATAAATTTTGCATAATTTCTGTATATTTTTTTAAGAATTGAAATTTTTTTTTAAGTAAGTCTTAAAACAAAGGCTTGGATTACCTTCATCCATGCAAATGCAACTATTAGAAGAATCTTAAATAAAGATGATGTCATTGGTGCTATATATAAATTCACTGACCTCATTAATAGACTGCATGGGTGCCACAAGATCCAAAGACACTCTGAACAAAGGGGGCTATCCAGTGGTTTATGTTCTTTGTGATTGTGGTGACATGCAGACAACAGTATGTACAGTATGTATACCTGCCCTTTATGTCCCAGCAGTATACACTTGACCTCATGGCAGCGTGACAGAACACAGTGTTGCTAGTTTCTGGGCAACATCTGATTAATTTGGAGATGTTTTAATCTTGTATTTAATATTTTAAATTTTATGTCATATGGTATGCCTTATTTTAATTGTGATGCTTCTGACATGAACAAATATAAACTGACTTCATTCTGATATCCATCTTTTTTCTGCTCACTGTATCTTTTAAAAACTAAATCCTTCTCTCTACCACTCATCTAGACATAGCACAACATTTGGCTTTAGAATAAAAAAATTTTTTTGTTGTTGTTTAACTTTCCCAGTGTGCAAAAACCAGACTTAGAACAAGCACTAGATGTTAGCCCGTCCTTTGATAATACCAATATGTTAGATGAAGATGAAGAAAATTTCCAAAAAGCACTTGCACTCAGCAGACAGGAAATTGATATGGAAGATGAAGAAGCAGATCTCCGGAGGGCTATTCAACTTAGTATGCAAGGTAAAAGATTATATTTTGATTTAAAAATGAATGGATACTTTGTATGTTTTAATTTTATTCAAACATAAGACAACAAAGCAATAAAGCGACATTGAAACTTTTGACGTGTGTGCCTTTGAGTCAGTGTTGACTCCTGGTGACTGCCAGGACTAGTACCAGCAGTTTTCTCTGCAAGAGATTTGACATGGTTTGCCACAACTTTCTTCCTAGAACTGAGAGACAGTGACAGGTCAGCCATGGTCGTCTTTTCTGCTCACAGAAGCATTATATGCCTTTAAAATGTCTTTATGGATAAGATTTGCACACTTATGAAGGAGTTAGAATTTATTTAGATGTAGTACAATCTCTTACGTCAAAAACATTTATTCCAAATCATTTTCAAACACTGCACAACCCTAGTAAATAACAGTGTTTTATCTAGTGATGTTTATCTAATGATTTGGATTTACTTAGGGGTTTTTTTTAGAGAAATTTATTTTCTGGAGCAGAGTGGGACTCTTTCTGAAGTGACCAAATGCAAGGATTTATTCCCAAGTTTGAATGATTTAATACTAAGTTTGGTGAAGAAAGCAAGTAGAGTATTTGCAAGAAATTGGGTTTTTTTACATTCACATATGTGGAAAAGTATGAGGAAAGTTGAATGATAAGGAACAATTTACCAGAGGTCTGCAGTTGAACTGCTTTGGTGGAAGAAGTGTGGTTGAGTGTCAAAATTAGCTTCTTGCTTTTTCCATCCCATAAGAGCAAAAACAAAAAGAGTAATCTTGCTTTTTCTCTTAATTCAGTAACCAAATTCTGAAGTCTAAGGTAGGAATAATAATTTTAAAATATTGTGTCTCACATTAATATTATAAGCATTTCAGCATTTCAAGACTGTTTTAGGCAGTTATTAAAAGATTTAACGATCTCTGCATATCTCATGGGAGGCTAAAATTCCTGGCCCTTCCTAAGGGCGCACTAATTTAGGAGCTAAGCATACTTGTACCTGTCTTTTAGAATTACAGTGCCACTTGAACTCACCCATTAAAATAGTATCGTCCAAGAGAATTGATGTAGTATAGTGGCTAAAGTGTTGATATACAAATGGGGAGAGCTAGTTTCTAATACAGTTTCAATTATGGAAGCACACTGGGTACATTTGGAGCAGAGCACACTTAGTGCAGCCAACTTCTCAGGATTGTTACTGCTCAGAGAGCAGACCTTGTACTATGCTTAGATATAATTGCATATCAAATAAAAATACTAAATTCTAAGATAGAGGTGCTAATATTTTACATATTTTTTAGTTTTAATTGCCTAGAATTACCAAAATTGCTGGCCTAGTTTTAGACTTGCTTTCTTATAAATTCCAATTATAAGGCGTTTACAGTGAAATATAATCATTATACAAGTAGTTCTCCTTTAGCAACTGCCTTGTTTAGCAGCTATTAAACTGCCTTGTTTAGCAACTGTTCAGTTACAGTGGTGATGGTTATGACCATTAGCTACATATACGATCTTCACAAGCCTGCAAAACTAAAGTAAGTTCATAACCATAGTCACAATTTCACTTAGCAACAACTGCTTAACAACTAAGTTGCTGGTCCTTATTGTGATCACTAAATGAAGGCTACTGTAATGTAGTTTGTAATCCTAACGATCTCAGTGCACTGCAGTACTCTAGGTGTCAATTCCCAACAAAGGTGTTTCTCAGTCTCACTTTCCACCAGCTTTCCAAGTCAGGACTCTACCTGTTTCACTTACCTGGATAGTTTTTGTTCTGCCAACTTGAAATATTTTTCTGCTCCAGGATACAGAACCTAACCTGGAGAAAAATACACAATATATATTTGGGTGGCATTGTCCTGCCTGCCTGGGTCCACTGCATATTGAACTGGCCTGGCTGAAATGGAACTAGCACCTAGATACACTTAGAAAGTAGAATATATATGAACACATTGAGACTAGACTTGTAAGAGTTCGCTTTATTGCTCACCCAAAGGAAATTGGTCTTCTGAGTTAGAAAATGTTTTTGTGCAAATACAAGTCTGCTATTGATTTTAATTTTGAGCAGTCCTCCACTATTTCATATTAATCATAGTCATATACAATATATTGATAATCTCCAGATTTAAAATATGTATTGATATTTATTATCCATGCTGTTACAATGTCCAGATCCAACTGCTATTTACAATGTAATACATAGGACTTCCTTTAGGACTATATGAAACATTCAGCTGGTAGCCCAACTACTAAACAGGATTATACCAGTATTATTTTTTAAATTTATTTTTATAAATAAGTGAGTTGAACTGAGAGAAAGTGACGGCCTTAAATCACACAGCTGGTTTTCATTACTAAGGCAGACTAGACCTCTCAGTCTCCTGGTTTTGAAATTTAGTGATATTAAAATAACTAATTATTAGTATATGCATAAGATCACAGGTGAAAATGTTCATTTTGAGCTTCCATTTATTCAGTAGCCAGGATGAAAACTAGAATCTTGTCCTGGTTTGTGGAATGTCCTTCCTGAGCATGTCTAACTGGCACCAGCCTTTTTATTGCCAGCTATGGAGGAAACAAATCTGGGGATAATTTTATTTTGTTTTGTTTTGTTCTAGGCTTTACAGTATGATTGATGACACTTGCTTTGTTGCTTTTTTAGAATTTTATATTGTTCCTTGTTATTACTGTTTAATTCTTCTATTATATGATTATTATACAAATTTGCATTGTACATTGCTTTTGCTATTTTATGCGAAACATAGTAAATATCCCAGTTAACTTAACCTTCCCAATAAGTGGGTGTGTGTGACTTTTAGGAGAACATCGAAGTGGCTTCTCAGATTGTTGCACACAGAACATTCCACATTCATCTGCAACAGGCCAAACTGAATCTCTCCCATCAGAAGAATTGCGGCGTCGAAGACAGGCCTATTTTGAAAAGTAATGTAAACTGTGTAAAGCATAATTTGTGGGTGGCAAGCCCCAGAAGCCTTTGTTAAGTGATATTACTTTATTACTTGCTGTTTTTCAAGTATTCTGGATTACAGTTCCTATCTTTTCTAATACTAACTATGCTGGTTAGAGTTGTAGCCCAAAGTACTGAGTTCTAAGAGGTTTTTTTTCTGAATTAACTCATACCAGTGTTTAACTGGTTCTTAAACTCCTGAACAACTCACTCAGTTTTGCAAATATCTTGATTCTTTTGGCTTGATATTATAGTACAAGATTGAGGCACCATGCTGGCTGCAGATAGCAGGATTCCGTTCTTGGGCAAATCACGCTACCTACGTAACTAATTCATTGGTCAGTTATATAGATGATTGTTCCAGTTTGAAATGCAAATGAATGTATGATGCTTTATCACGATCACTTAAGTATTTTGATTTAGGATAATATAAGTTATAAACTAGTAGCAAATAGATAATTTACATCTATTGCCATATTTATGTGTTCATTCATTAATTCTTGGCAAACTTGGTGTCTTCTTGTTCAAGAGTGGCAACAGTGTTACTATTTTTAATTAAAAATGCTATACTGCCTGCCTCTTGATATCATTCTTTTTAGTGCCTCATTTTAGTAAGACTTTATTTCATAGCAATATTACTGTGTCTGGTTTCTCTTTTGGCTTGTTCTAAACTATAAATTAATTTGGATATGGTACCAAAACACATCTTCTCTTCTTATTATGTAATGATAAAATACATTCATTAGCAATTGGTACTCCTATAATCCTTATCTATTTTATGCTTATAAATATGTATATGTTTAATTATCATCTGTGATTATCATTTTTATTTTGAAGAATGTTTTTATGTTGCATCAATACAAAAAAAGGTAATAACTGAAAGTGCATCAACAGGAGACTTAATTTCCTCTATTAATTATCACTATAATTACAGTACAGAAGTACATTCTAGTAACGTGCCAAACTCCATATTCTGATCAGAGAACGTTCAGGTTCCTGCTCCTGGGAACATTTTTTTGTTTCTTTTTTTTCTCCGAGAATACATTTGTTTAGCCTTTTCATGGATAGTTTGTCATCTTCGGGCTTTGGAATTAGATGTGATTCCCAATAGTCTGGTCCCAAAGTATTTTTTTGTATTGTGTATTCTGTGTTAGGAGAAAAATGGAAACTAAGAGAAAAGACCAAAATCTGGAGTTTTGTCAACACTTGTTAGTAGGCTTATTGGCTAATTCTCTGGGATCAATGTACCTTACATATTACACCTTTCTGATTAATTTTTTTTAGAATTACATATTTTAAACATACATACATACACATACATGTGTGTGTGTGTGTGTTAATGTGTGTATTGCAAACACTGAAATGTATTGGTCCAGTTTCCTGTACTCTGAACTTTTCAAATATTACTTCATTATTTAATAGGAAAAATTAAACTGGATGAAGAAAGGCAAGGAATCATAAAGTTATATGCTTTCCTATGTATAATAAAAATTAATGCTGCATATTTCTCTCTCTGATTATTTTAGACATCAGCAGCTGCAAAAGCAAGGTCAGATTCCACAATTCCATGGTGAAGCAGCTACAAATTCGCACACAATAGTTAATGACACAGGTAGGTATTGCTGTCATCATTTCCAGCCAGTGTGACCATTGGAAATTGTATCTAGAAATAATAGAATTGCATCCAATACATTTATAAACCATCAAATTGGTGTAATGTTTATATATACACTTCAGTGTATGGTAATCAGTTAAATTCAGTATCAGCCCATGTGATGACTTAAACATTATAGGTAGTTCTTGATGTACAACCATTCATTCAATGAATGTTAGAGTTATGGTGATTTATGACTGGTCCTCTTACTCATGGCTGTCACAGTGTCCCTATGATCACATGATCAAAATTCAGGCTTGGCAACCAGCATATATTTATAAGGATTGCAGCATCCAGGGTCACGATTGCCATCTGTGACCTTTCAAGATGGCTTCTGACAAAGTCAGTGGGGACTCCAGATTCACTTAACGACCTCAGTGATTCATTTAACAACCCTGACAAAGTCAATGGGAAAGCCAAGTTCACATAATGACTAGTGATTCACTTAACAATCACAGGCACAGGTAAAGTGCTGCCTATATTCCACAATTGGTAGCAGAAAGTAGGAAATGGTTAATAGGTCTTTTGGGAATTCCTGGATAGGCCAGTCTGACAGCAAGAAGTTCTCCACTCCTGTCTTGAACTAGTAAGCTATGAGCATGGGAACTAGAGCTTTTCTCTGTCTTTTTAAATTATTGATGTTTTAGAAACTAATGTATTTTATTTTCTTGTTTCTTCTCAGGAGGTGATTTGAGTGAAAATGATATGCTTCAAGCTGCTATGAATATGTCCTTGGAAACTGTTACAAACAGCTTGAACGCAGAAGAAAAGAAATGACAAATATTTATTCTAATCTGAACGCTACATTCTGTATTAATTCTGTGTGGGTGGCATAAAGGTAGGGTTCATTTCATTGATGTACCAAAGCAAGATAACAGTTGTGAGATTTCAGACTGAGGATCAGAATTAAAAACAATTTGGTTACTATACAATAAAATCTCATTAGTTTATGGTTATACTGTTGACCTTCTGGGTAATTTCTATTCAGTCAGAAGAACAATGGGAAAATGGGTGTTGATATACAATAAAATCTCATCCAATATTTTTCTGATCCATAGATGTTCAGGTTAGGTTTATGGTATCTGCAGATCTTCGTATAGGGAGCAGCTCTCTCAGTTGTGATGGCTTGTTCTTGCAAGTTGTGATCTTAACAGGAAGATCAAGCACTCGCCTGATTATAGAGCAAGGCCTTGGAACTTTGCTAAATAAGATTATGTGAAATCTAAACATTTGTAGTTTCACATATATGCTCAAAGGCATTCTAAGTATCATGTTTACAATGCATTGAATTACCTGCATGAATTACTGTACATCAGCTTAATTCCAGAATTTAATTATTTAACTACATTTTGACTAAGAATAGCAAGAGATTTGCAGACCATCAACCCTATTTTGGAAGACTTTGCTAGAGTATTACAATTGTCATAAAATGGAACATCCTGCTTTTATTCTCCTGCTCCTCCAGATCTGCCTCCAAGCATTCCAATCTTCCAAAGCTGATTTGAAAGGCACCCTGGAGGAACCTACTCCAATAACAGACTCAAGACTTATTTCTTCCTTGTTTTGCTCTAAAAATGCCTTTAGTATTTTTTTACTAAATGTTGGGCCAATACTGGCTATGATGCACTGATCTAGTATATATATACATATATTCAGCCAACACCTAGAATCTGATTAACTGAAATCAAAAGTGTTGGATATAGTTGATAACTGTTATTGTAATTCTTATTTCAATTGGTATTAATATTTTATCTTTTGTTAGATATTTCTATAAGTATTAATACTATCAAGCTGGACATAAGTTATCTTTTACTGAATCAGCTTATTGGTCCATTTAGGTTAAAATTATCTATTCTGGCAGTGATTCTCCAGTCTTAAGCAAGAATCTGAATTGCTTTTGAATGGAGGATAAGAATTAGAATTAAACTGGAACTTCCTACATGTGTATCACGTGCTCTGCCACTGAGCTATATAGCCTTTCCAAAATTCCATATTAATTTTGAAATGAGGAAGTTGAAAAGATTTTGATGCCATGATTTCAGTGCCACATTATTAATATGCATAACTACCATCTGAAATGAACCCTGCATGGTTATTTGTGTGTTAAAAATGGATATACATAAATGAATGTGTATGAGAGTATGTACTTTATCAAATGTTAATGAATGTCTTCTTGTAACAGATTTGCGGCTTTTCATGAATGGTCTTCATTCATGCATCTTACTGTTTATTCTGTTTCTGTTACGAAGGGAAACTGGGAAGCAAATTCTGTAAGCTAGTTTTATTCTGATAGTCAAATAATACATAACAAATATTATTGCAGGATGACTGAATTTGGCATTTTGTATTAAAAATATTTTTCTTTTTTGCAAAAGGTGTTTTAAGCATACATTCTGTTTACATATACATATTAAGGCTATAGTTTTGGATACAAACGATATACTCATTAAACCTATGGATATTTGCCAGATACACAAAAAAATATTGATTAGGTTTTGCAAATTATTTTAAAATTATTATATTGCACCATGTTGATGTGTCATTCTTTGCTACTGAATGATTAGTAAATGTACACAGATTATGGTACTATAAAAATACAATATTAAAATTGATTTTGATATTTGTTTACAAAAAATGATTTAAGTGGAGAGTTAAATATGAAAGTCAAATGCCTCTTATTTTCATGTTTCATATGCTGTTGATTTCTGTGAAACTATTACAAAAGTACAAGCACTGCGATTTGGTCCAGGGATAAATACTATAAGAGTGTATCTAGCTTTGCCAGTCAGTAAACTGAAGGTAGCTATTTTAGATCTGCCTAATTTATTTATTAACAAAAAATTAACTTACCATATTTACTGCATGTTGTTTTGGAAAAAAAAACAGCATTAGTTACATAAAGCTATATGCATTCATTTTAATTGTATTTAAGCCACTACTTGAAAAGAAATATATGAAAAGATGTATAGACGCCATGAAATGAAATCATACTAGTCTGTAAAGATCATAGTTTTATTTTTTCTTACTTTTCCAATAAATTGTGTCCTTGTGGACAAGTTGAATATGGATGAATTTAGATCCACTTCTTTCAAATGTATCTCTTCATTAAAGCAAGGTATTTTTTCAACACATATACAGTATATACCATATCAATTATAAAGCAAAGATTTTAAAAATATTTTTTTCCATTTAGCATGTGCACTTAAAGGGGGAACCCTTCTTTAAGATTCAACTTGTGGTAAAACATTTTGTGGTTTACATAAAGTTAATGCAGTAGATTTTGAGAGAGAATTTTTAGTAATTTGGAAATTTCTCTACTTGGGGATTATATTAATGGACAGCCTTGAAAATTGTCCATTTGTAATGGTGAACATTCCTAAAACTGAAAAGTATGGAATCCACTTTTGGTGGAAGATCTGAAAGAAATCTGGATTTCATTCATAACTAAGGCCTTTTTTAATAATGTCCTCTAAGGTTTTTTTGTTCTATTGGCATTATAACCAGATCAATGCTTTACAGTTTATTTATTTATCATACATGTATGGCCACCCATCTCCCAAACATGACCCTGGGCAATGTACAATAAAAAACAAAGTCACAATATTGAAAAGTATTTCAGAATTAAAATGTATTATTTAATTGCTAGGAAAGATTATTAGGTATTACAAGCAATGTAGCTACTTCCATTAAATCACCACTTCCTTGAGATCCCCCAAGCCTATCAACACAGGAAAGTTTTGAAGGACTTCTACAAGGACATCGGGGATGGAGCCAATCTCACAGGGAAGGGTGGGCATAATATTCCATAGAACCAAAATCATTTGGTTTATTGTCCTCAGTCAAATTTAGGTTCTTGGGAAAATACATACTAGTCCCAATCCCTTAATTATCTGTAGTTGCCCAGAGTTACCTTATTGAAGAGATGGGCAGCATAAATTTAATTTAATAAAATTGAAAATATGTTGTGTTATGTAAAATACAACAATTATCTTAGTATAAATAAGAACAAGCTCTAATTTGAGGGCAAAGCAAAACCCAGCTTACCTTCAGCTCAGTGATAACTAATGCCTCCTTTATGAACTTTTTGAAAATAATAGTGCATCACACAGGACAAAATTGATGCTCAATGTAAAACAAAACAAAAAGGATTATGGCCACTGGGCCCAGGAATATGATGTACCATATTATGACCTAGCTTATATAAATTAACCTTGTTGGCTTCAGAAAGGCTTTTGAAACCTGATTATCACCCTGGGCATTGGCCTAGGAAGAACACAGCTCTGTAGGGAGGAAAGTATAAATCATAGCCAGGTCATCTATAGGTAGTCCTCGAGTTATGAATGGAATGGAGCCTGCCCATTCCATTCATAACTCGAAAATTTGTGGGAGTGAATCTCGTACCTCGAATGAGATCACTCCCTGCTCATTAAGACGCACACGGCTCATTAAGTGCACATGAGATATCTCAGGATAGGGAAGGCCATGGAGCGCCTAGTGATGGAACAGGCCCCCAAGCCTCCCCAACCCATTAAGAGGTGCAGAGCAAGATTGCTCTCAAGAAGATGCGGTGTGCTGCTCACTTGTGTGCGTCAGCCTTATTGAGAGCATTCCTGCTCTGCGCCTCCATTTCCTTCCACTCAGATAGAGCGGAGAAGCTCAAGCTGCTGCCGCTCAAATACTTTTTATCTGAACGGAGACCTTGGGGAGATGGGGAGCTCCTCCTGTGTGCAAATGCAACGCTTGAAAATGCAGCGAATCGCTGCGTTTTCAACCACACCATTTGCTCCCAAACTGAGCTCCCCATCTCCCCAAGGTCTCCATTTGGATAAAAGGTGTTTGTGCACCTCTGGGACTCTATTTGCTGCGTTTCCAAGGGTCCCTAGGTGCTCAAACACTTTGTATTCGAACAGAGGCCTTGGGGAGATGGGGAGCTCCATCTGTGTGCAAATTCAACACTTCAAAACGCAGGGACAGTTCCATGGAGAGAGGTTTTTCTGTGGACTGGAGGGGGCGTGGTTTTCACGTGCTGCCTGCAACTTGTGGATGGGGCTTTGCTTGTTTGTGTGGCCCAGTTTCTGGCATGCCACAGACCTGTGCTGATTCATAGACCAGGGGTTGGGGACCTCTGCTTTAATGGACTTTTGCTGACTAGGTTTGAACAAGGCTTTTAAGGATTTGCTTATAGATTATTTGCTTATAAATAAGAAATGGGATATAAGACAACAAGATCATTTGCTGTATTTAAAGAGAAGGTGATAAGTTAACTAAAAAGTTTATACTTATGAAGGGGAAGTCAATTTTTCTATATATTTTTCTTTCTTTTATATTTTTTCTATTCTTTCCTTTTCTGCACTTTCTATTTTTTCTTCTTATTCTATTTTCAATTAGTTTTGATCTTTTTAATTATATTTTTTAACAAAATAACAAAAAGTACCAAATGGGGTTTAATTTGTCACTTGGAGTCCTGATACATAACAGGGCTTACATGAAGTTCTATAAACAGTAACAAAGAAAAGCAAAAATTCAGATAATACAAAAAGGGCAAATACTTTTTTGACCTAACTTTAGTTTCTTTTTTTTCTTTTCTACAAAGATAATTATTTATTGCAGGACTTGTTACTATTTTTGCTTCATCTTTTTCTTCAATAAATTGTTACCACAATTAAATCTATGAAATCAACAAGACTCTTGCTCTTGCAGTTTTCAAATGGGTCAGCATAAAAATGTGGGCTTGTATATGTGTATGTATACAACTTACAACGATCTGTTTAGCAACCATTCAAAGTTATAACTACAGTGAAAAAAGTGACTTGCAACCAGTCTTTGCACTTATGATCGTTGCAGCATCCCCATGGTCACATGATCATTTAACAACAGAAATTCTGGTCCCACTTGTGGTTGTAATTTGACAACTAGCTATTGTCTTCATTAGAACTACGCAGTGGTTTCTTCAAACAAATGCTCACATTTAACATTAATGAGGGAAACACCCAGAATTACTCCTTATTTCAACAAGGGAATTTTCTCAAATATTTGTGTTATATTAATATTCATTTAACTCCCAAATTATGGGTGGTTATAAATGACATACACAAAGGCATGAACATGGAGATCATACTGGGCAGTAGTGCATACAAAAAAGAACAAGATATCTTTGTGGTTCCCAAAAGGAACTTGAGATGACAGTGTGATGTTGGTAAGCAAGCAAACAAGCACCTCCTAGGATAGTCTCCAGTTCTGGTCACCACAATCTACAGCATGTCCACTTTGGTGGAACAGTTGGAAGCATGTAGTTTATTAGCTGAGAAAAGAGAAAATTACAGAGACACTATATCCGTGGTGGCGAACCTATGGCATGTGTCCACAGGTGGCACACACAGCCCTCTCTGTGGGCATGCGCACCGTCACCCCAGTCCTAGGCCTTCAGCTAGGTTTTATAAAACCTTTTCGCTTTAGGCCTCCGCCACCGTGTGCAAAAAAAAAAAGTTCAATCAACCAATTTCAACTTCTCGCTGGGAAAAAAAAGATCTCACAAAGTTGAAATTGATTGAACCTTTTAGTCCCACCCAGTCTACCGTTACCACTGCAGCCATGCCCACCCAATGGGCCACACCCACCCAGCACCCGATGATACATAAGTGGGTTCTGGGTTGCAGTTTGGGCACTCGGTCTCTAAAAGGTTTGCCATCACTGCAATATATCATTGCAGAAGAGGGGATGGAGTTGCTCAAAGTTGTTCCAGAAGACAAGAAAAGAAACAAGTTTAAATTATTAGGAAGTTATTGGACCATAGGAAACAAAAATCCTGGGGGTTAAGAGCCATTTGGCAATAGACAAAAATTGCCCTGGAAGCAGAAAAAAACTCCTTAACACAAGTGTTTAAACAGAGGCTAGATGGGCGTCTGTGCAAGGTGCTGTGTTCATGGTTTATTTCACAGGGCAGTGAACAGGAATAAATGGTCTCCAAGGTCCATCGTAACCATTACATTCTGCCATGTTTTAAAATAAACGATGGAACAAGGATTTTCTACTTTATATACTATATATAAAGTAGCTGTATATAAAGTAGAAAATCCTTGCTCCCTTATTTATTTCAAAACATGGCTGAATGTAATGGTTACGATGGACCTTGGAGACCATTTCTTCCTGCTCGCTGCCCTGTATTATTCCTACATTATGCAAAGTTGCACAAGGAAAATTTCAACTAGTAGAAATACTACCCTTAAAAGATACACAGTACCTACCGTATTCTATTATTTGGCTAAAGATTTGGGAAACAGACTAAAACGGAAGATGGCATTTATTCAGAAGTATTGTTTTTTTTTTGTAAAGAAATGCACTGGAACAGAATAAAAAGTGCTGCTACTGTTCCTAAAAACTGATGAAATCACAAAGGAGGGGCACCCACAAATATTTCTGGATACCTCGTAAGGCTTCGTGAAATATTGCACATCTGTGTACACGGGGGGGGGGAGGTCTAAGACAGTGTTTCTCAACCTTGACAATTTTAAGGCATGTGGACTTCAACTCCCAGAATTCCACAGCCAGCATTGCTGGCTGTGGAATTCTGGGAGTTGAAGTCCACATGCCTTAAAATTGTCAAGGTTGAGAAACATTGGTCTAAGACCTATCCTCAAATAATAGGAATTCAGTTGCATGTCGAGTTGGGAATTAGCCACGGGTACAACGGATTTCCAAAAAGCGTGCCGCACTACCCACATTTTGGGGAGGGAACGGGGTAAAGCCGGGTGAAACTAAAGGTCCCCTTTCCGGTCCTCCTTAGGCTGAGGGAGCGCAACCTTTCCGCTCTCCAGCGTCCCGTCGACCTTTGTTTCTTTTTTAGACGCATCCCCGAGCGCGTACAGGGCCACTCTACCCTCTCGTGCTCTATGATGAGCTGGAGGTGTCATGGCGGCCGTCGAGGTGGCAGCTGGATCTGGAGGCCTTACAGCTGATTGAGAAGCCCCGGTCAGGACAGCCGGCCGGCAGAGCTACTACGACAAGAGCTTTTTTAGAACAGAAAAGTCACCCGGCCACTTGCTGCTCTTCTTCGAAGCGGCTG